CATAGCCAATTTATAACTGAACATAAAAAATGTAGATTAAAATTACCTCCGCATTCTCTTTATTTATGTGGAGGTAAAGAGATTATAGATTTTATTTAGTAAGAATTTTCTTGAAATGTAGCAGGTTTCTTAATATTCATTCATTGGTAGTGTTAACTAACTGTAACTGAATCTTAAACAAGGTTGTTCATATGTTTCAATAGCTGTTACCCACATTACATTGGACAACTGAACAGGTGGCTCCATCTAATTTTATGACCCCCACTTACAACTTTCATATATTTTTGCTACAGAGAAGGTACTCCTTGGAGGAGTGGATCACCAAACTATTGTCTGACATTGATGTATCAAGATGTGCTGCAGTGGCATCCTTTCTTGAACTAGAAGCAGCTGCTAGATCTTGTATGTGTCTTTTGCAACATGCATTTAGTTGCCTCATACATGTTAGCTTTCCCAAATTTTGATAGTTTCTACCTCGTTTAATCCCTTCTCAGCATTCCAAGATGCAAGCCAGCAGAATTCTGAAACAGATCCTGATTCCAATAACACAGTTTATTCTGTGCAATCACCTCTCCAGTCGAGCTTATCATTAGTTGCTGGTAGTTCATCTGTTGCCTCAGATTATGGTAGTGATACTGCATATGAGCCATCTGACCTAGGGACACCAAGAGTTGGAAGGGACGATAATTCTGAAGTTGGCACAGATGATCTAACGTTGGATGAAGATTTGACGAATCCAATAGAAAAGCTCGTGAAATATGGCATAACAAATATTGATGAAGGTTTGTTTATGGGTCAGACTATTCTAGAGCAATTGGAAGGCCTTCCTAGGCATAGAACAAATGCCAGACATGTGAACTATGGTACAGAGAAGGACAAAAATAATGGTAATTTATATGATTCTTCACTTTTAGCTAATAATACCATGGAGCTTTTCTCTGAGCCTGGACATGCCAAGGTTGTTGGTCATGTTCGTAAGCTTTCAAATGAGAGTGTTGGGAGCGATGGAAGCTCAATACGAGGCAGTGACATGTCTAATTTTGGGATTCCAAATTCATCTGGTGATGGCTCTCATGACATTCCTGGATCTGCGTTGGTTTCAAGAGAGACAGATATTATGGGCCACACAAAGTCGAAGTGTACTGGTGATACTCAATTAGTCCTTCCACTAGATCAACGCAATAAATTGAACAGAATTCTTTCAACCATGCAGCGAAGGCTAGGCACCGCAAAAACTGATATGGAGGACCTTGTAGTTAGACTAAATCAAGAAATAGCTGCGAAGGATTTTCTTGCAACAAAGGTGCATGATTTGGCCTGCTTTTCCTTGTAAATTATTTATATAATTTTTTTTAGTTTACCTGTATCTGAGATTGATGAGAGACTACTCAAGTTGAAGATAAATATATCTATAATCTGTGGATATCTATGGATTTTATGGCTCTATAACATGCATATAAGCTCATTTTTATAGATATTAATTGTGTGTCCATAATTGATTGGATCCGTTCAGGTCAAGGATTTAGAAGTAGAACTTGAAACTACTAAACAGAAAAATAAGGAGAACTTGCAGCAGGCTATTCTAATCGAGAGGGAAAGATTTACCCAAATGCAGTGGGATATGGAAGAACTTAGACGAAAATCATTGGAAATGGAGATGAAACTAAAGTCTGAATCGGTAAGACATTTTTGCATTTATTTTGCATATATTAAACCATTTTCGTAGGGCTAGTTGATTTCAATAATGGCTCTTGGCATGATATCCAGGGGGGTAATTCCTATCAGAATTTGACAAAGGAATCAATTGTTCAGCAAAATGATGTACTGTTGCAGAATTTAGATGCTACAAAAGAGCAGCTGGAAATTTTGTCGAAACAGTATGGAGAGCTAGAAGCAAAATCCAAAGCAGATGTTAAAGTTCTGGTTAAGGAGGTCAAATCTCTCCGTAATTCCCAAACAACATTAAAGAAAGAACTTAGTGAGTCAATAAAGGAAAACACTGAAATTGAGGTAGGTTATAAGCCTGCACATATCATATTTTGCAGGAGGTTCTTCCTCAACAGTTCATATTTTCCCTCCGAAAAATAGCTTTGTCAATGTACTTGTCTTCGTATTTTAAATTAGTAGGACTCTAACATATATTACTATTATTCCGTATTTTCTGTGGGAAGGGGGCGGAGGAGGGTAAGAAACACTCTTCATTTGACTGTTGTTGCTTTCAGATAATGCACTAGACCCTGCTTTCGTATTTATTTATTTATTATGCTATGCATTTATTTGTTTTCCTTTCCTCCTTCCACAATAATTTTTATAATGTCTGTCTCTTCAGTGTAAAGTTTAATGTGTATACTTAAATTTCTATTAACAAATCCTTCTTCACTGCTCTACCATAATATTCCTTGTTTGATATATGGACCTGAAATCCCAGAATGCAAGACATATGTGATGATCTATACTTGTATTTCTTGTGTCTTTAGAAACTACTACTTCAAGAAAGAGAGAAGAGGGAGCAGGCAGAAGCTGCTCGAAGAAAACTGCTAGAGAAATGCAGGCTTCTTTTCAACCAGCTTCAAGAGTGCAATGTCAATCTTCCTTGGGAATATGAAGATAGGACAGTCATGAATTCATCATCATTAACTGATGCTTTTAATCAATTAACAACATCTGATGACCAAATGGACATCCTACTAGCAGAGGTAGAAATTATATATTTATATGTTCTTACAAGTTTTAGAGTTGAGTCGTGACTTTTTTTTTTAATGCAGTGCATTTAGATACTCACTCTTTTATCCAGCAAATCTCCCGATAAAATTACAGAACTTATTTAAATTTAATCAGGTACAAAACTTAGAGAAGGACTACGGAAGTGAGGCTTCCAATGTAGATAAAACCAATGACATAAAAGATGGTGTAATATGTGATGATGAAGTGAGAAAGATGATAGCAGATTTGTTCACAGATAATGTTAGATTGAGAAAACAGACAAACCACGTCACAAGGCATGCTCTCAAATTGGACATGACAGCAAGTGAAGATTCCCCTTCAATGGAAACTGTAACAAGTATTTAGAAATATATGATAAGTGCTAATATAAATTGTTGTTCGGCTTTTGCCCATGAGCCCACTGTTTTGTTTCTTATCCTGGTGGATGATCATTTGCCGTTCATAGTAGGTGAGTTATTATACTGAATGCACTAGCTCCCCTAATGTACCCTTCAACTTGTACGAGTTTTTACTTAACACACATATACAAGCCTTGCACCACATTTTTTTTGTCAACTTAAAATAATGAAAAGTTGGAACTCATCAAAAGGTTAGATTATGTTTGCTTTTGCCTTTTTATTTTTCTTTTTTTAATTAAAAAAGGCATTTTATCGCTGTGGTATGAAGATGCAATGACAGGAGTGTCCTATTAACCTTCACTCTGCGTAAGCACTAAGCTGTAATGCCTGACCATAGATTCCTGACAAGAGGATGAAAAACAAAAAAGTTATTATAGTCCGAATGGTATTTCTATTTTTAATTTTTTTTAGTTTTATATGGAGGCAAAGTGATATTTTTAATTGTGATTCTATATTTAAAGTAGAGCTTGAATTCCGGTTTTTGTTTAGTTTTTATTGAAATTTAGAAGTGTGCAAGAGAATATGCATCATTTGATTCGTGTGCAAGAGAACATGTATGATTTGATTCATTAAATGATTTTGATATTTAAGAAAATGTTATATAAGTGTAGTATTTTGGTTTTTATAATTAAGAACAAAGGAGATGTTTATAACTCTAAACTATAGCGCTATAAGATTTATAAGTCATGAAATTACGATAAATTACTATTGATCATAAATATTTATAGCTGTAAAGTTGGATCATTGAATTAAAAGCATGTAATAAAAGCTAATTGTTGAATTATTTAATGTGTAAATGTAAGAGGACAAGCAAATAGAAATTACTCCCTCCATTTTTTATTCATAGTCGTTTATGATTTTACACGAGACTTAAAGAAATGATTGATATTTTAGTTTTTAAAAATGTTTATTACTTACTTTCTTATTCTACTTTCTATTTTTTTTATAGTATTTCGTTGGAAACATATTATCCTTTTAAATGTAAAATTAACTTCACATAGGTGGTTGGAGAAAAAATAGGTAGACATTAGAAATAAATAGACACATTGTTCAGTAAACATACATTAATTATCAAGGGTAAAAATGAGAAAAAAAAAATAATAAGTTATTAATTTTAATAAAATGATAATAAAAAAATAATAATAAATTTTGACAAAATGACTATGAACAAAAAATGGAAAGAGTATAATAAGATCATTATAATAAGAATAAAAATAGCAAAAATTTAAGAACTTAGAATTTGTCAAACAAACTAGAAGTGAAGTTCAAATTCTCGCTAAACACACTTCAAAGTTTTGGTTCTTCGAAGATTTTCATTTAGCCCAACAAGGCGAAATGTTATCAAATGTCTTCTCAACAATTCGAATTAGTTATCAAGACTTCAATGCACATATTTCTGTTTGAAAGAAAAATATATTTTGATGACACTGAGGGAATAAATTAATGATTTTTCTATCAAATGCTAAAATTTTGATACTTTCCTTTATATAAAATTATATTTTTTTAAAAAAAAACTTATAAAAAAGCATTGCAAAACAATAATTGTATATAGGAAGAACCTTAAAAGTGTTTCATTTGTAATTCAAAATTACGTCGAATGTGATGTAAAACAAGGATCCACAATAGGATGTTTTAGAAAGTGGGCAACAAACACACCCTAGGGACATGTCAAGCGGCTGGTAAAGATCGTGCAGCAAAATTAGTGTCAAGTCAAATCTTATGCTTAAAATCTTAGAAAATAAATGACTTAATTTTTAAATCTCCATAATTATTTTTTCTTACCAAATTAATAAAACAATTAAATTAATTACGTAAGTGATTTCCAAGTATACATTTTGATTTTTTAAACAATTGATATCTTTTATAATAAAAAAAAAATTAAGTATAAATTTTGTTTCTTTTTTAATTAAATGAAATGAAATAAAATATTTCCTTATCTTGGAATGTTCGAAACATAATTGAAGAAATGTGACCTTAAATTGACATTTGAATGCCAGAAGAAGCCATCCCTTCTTTAATGATTGTTCTAAACTGTTGACCATATAACATGATGGCTAACATGTACAACAAGATAAAGGGAAACAATTCCCATGATGATATTTCCAAATTGCCAGGACACCACTCATTCAGCCCAAACCTTAAGGATCACATTATGGCCTTTGTTTCTCAGATCCACCGTCCTTTTGTATGTCAGCCCAAGACCCAGCTAACATCACATCTGCATCAATATGTATATACTTTTAGAGAAATCCATGCACATATAAGGATAAATACCATTTATCAAAAAATAAAAGGATAATACCACAAAAGGGATAAACTAGGGTTGAGAAGAAGAAAAAAATAGATTTTTATAGGTCTTTGCCATGGGGTAAAAGTAAAAGCAACCATATTGCGGCACCCATATTGGCCCCCTGTGCAAATCAAAGGACAGAACCAACCATGGGAAGCCTAGGAAGATGTCTTTTATTTTAGGCTGAGGGTACATTTTTGTAACATTTACTTCATGAAAAACAAGTGATTCTTTAAAAAAAAATTTAAAAAATAGACTAAATAAAATATTGAATTTTGATTAGTTTATAATTTGTTGTGTACATTTGCATGTTTTTATTATAATCTCATTTGTTTATTTTAAAAATTAATTATAGATTCGTACTTAACCCAAAAGTGCAGTCTCATTTTAGAGGGCGCACTAGACAATTGTTGAGCCACTTTATGACATTGACACAAAGGGTGCCATCAAGAGTCAAGTCGTTAAAAGAAAAAAGAAAAAAGAAAAAGAAAAAAAAAAAAAAAAAAAAAAAAAAAAAAAAAAAAGAAGCTAAACGAATGTAGAGTTATTACTACAAAGGGTTATGTTACGCAACCATTTTTCAAGTGCATTTATAAGAAAGAATTTCTAGCTCAAGAATTAGTGGTGGCGTACCTCAACAACACTTATCTGCTTGACGCGGCTCAACAAGAACATAAAGTGGCTTTCCAATGAGCCTGCACTGGCCCTGAAAGAGAAACGTTTCATTTACATTTCATTTCCATAAAAAAAATTAAAGGAAAAAAGGCATATATTACAAAAATATTGTCAAAAATGAAATTCACAAGAGCCTGATTGTATACAGTGAAACAACATTTATTTATTCACTTTCGGTTAAGAATCTTTAAAGGATTACCTTCAACAACATAGAAATTTCTGAGATCAAGTAGAAAAAGAAGAACAAGTTAGAGAAGCTAACCTTGACCTCAGGCACACCAATGACACAAGCACATTCCACTACTTCAGCACCAACACGCTCTACAAAACAAGTTGAAATGTAGCAAAGTTGGGACCACATGCATTGAACAATCACAAGTTAAAAAAAGGAGGAAAGAATATAGACAAAAAGAGGGTGCAAATCACCTAGAAGTTTTACTCCTGCTGACAGAGTTCCACCTGTGGCCACCAAGTCATCAATGACTATGGCCCGTTCACCCGGCTGGACAGCACCAACATGCAACTCCAAACAATCAGTTCCATATTCTAGAGCATATTTTTCTGAGATTACTTCACCTAAACCATTAAAGCATGTGAAAGTCAATTAAGGCATAATGTGGAGGGCCCAATTCACCATTCTCACTGTGTCTTTTATATACATATATATATAACTCAAAAGGCTCAACAATGTTTCACAACTCTAAAATTCATCATTTGAGATTAAACTAAGATTTTATTCCAGCTAACAGCCATTTGGGATATGATTAAGCATATACTAGTGTGCGGGGATGGGGATTTTGAAAAAACAAGTTGAAACCTGTTCTATAAATTAGTTCGATTCTTTTTATACCAAAGTGATGAGTATCAATTTAATTAATTTTGGAGGAATCACTTTGAAATTGTTAAAAAAATGAAAATATTATAGGCTTGAAGCTGGGCCTTCACTACTGATTCACTGTGGTATAGTGGAATTAGCAATTATTACCTGGTCTTTAGATTTTCAAGTCATATTTCACAAGCTATATGCATTTACAAGGCAATTTAAACACACAATGAAAATAACTGTTGATCTCAAATGACTTCCACTCTTTCAGCTTACAATCAGAAGCATCATGCATGTGCTTCAATGTTTAGTAATTCAAAGTAAGCTAGAAATGAACTATTTCAGTTTTGAAAAAACACCTTAAGATGAATATTGATGTTAAAAGAAAGACAGCTGCTGAAAAAGATACATTTATCACCGACCTCATGCAATTGTGATTCATGCAAAAATGATCCGTATATACAGAAGTAAGCAGCCTTTGTTTAACTCGTTTTTCATAAATTGAATGCAACCATGACTCAATTAAAAAATCTTGATGCACCAAATAGTAGAAACTTTGACAAGTTTGTTCAATGCAGATCAGGAATGTAACTCATTTCTTTGATTCAGAGAAGACAGTCCCATCCCACGGAAAACGATCTTCACATTTGTTGTTTTGGTCATAGTTTGGTGCTTTCAAGTTTCAACTTTGACCAAGTTTGGACACAATCTCTAAATCAACATTCAATAAAACACAAAGATACCTGGCAGCTTCCGGGGTTTGCGTAAAGGAACAAACTTGGCACCAATGCCCAACGCAATTGCGGGACCAAACATGAATCCCCTCGCCTCAATTCCTACATGTAACCCAATCACATCAATAATCCTCATCAGTTGATGCGTCATTGTTTAAAATGACAACCATATCCGAGATCGTTTTCTAGAAGAAGAGGCTATTATTACAACACATGTATGTGGACTAAATTTAGGTCCTCATTTTTTATCAGTCAAAATTCGGAATCAAAGACCAAGAAAAATATTCAGTGTTATAAATGATACCTACCCACAACCCACAACCCAACTCTAAGGTCCAACACCCCCACCCCCCAAAAAAGACTTGGTTTTTACAAACAAAAAAATCTATTGCCATGAAAATCAAAGCACGACTAAATATGATAAAATAAAATAAAAGAGAAAACGTGGATAAAAAGGGGAAACCAAATGCGAAACATTTACTTTATAATAGAAAAAAAGTAGAAAAACCGGGAAAATAAATTGCATTGTTGAGAAAGGCATGAAAGGGAAGCAAAACCAGTTTCCAGGTTGTTAGTTTCATGACATTAAAACAATACAAAAACTAAACCCCATAAAAAAAACTAAGAAATGAAAGAAAAGAGCAACCCAGGATCTCCTTCTCCAAAAGCAAAAGCCCCATTAAGTTTTACCTTCACCTTCTTCTGAAACTTTTATATTTTTTTCTGTTCTCAAAACGAGAAGAAGAGGGTACAGAAAAAAAAAATGTTTTTTTTTTTTTTGAAAAGGAGGGAAGAGTACAGTACGGTACCGGCAACAACGGAAATGTGCATGTCTCTGTAACGATCGACAAAAATGTCGACCGTGTCTTTAAACGCCTTGTGATCCAACAGCAATGTCGTTATGTCTTGGAACATTATTCCTGCAAATTTCACCACCCCCATTAATTTAACCCACAAAACACACACTCCTTAAAAAAAAAATATGTTTGCAGATCTGTTCACAAAGGTTCAAAAGGAAACTGCAACCTCAAAACAAAACAAAAAAATAAAAAAAAATAAAAAAAATGAAAAGCATAAGAGGGAGCAGAGACAGTGAAGGAAGCTTTTGCAGTTATAAAATAAAGAGACCTTGTTTGGGGAAGTGAGGTACGACTCTGATGGCTTGGGAAATGGCTTGAAGCCTAGGGTCTCCCCTGAGGCCATTCTCTTCGGCGAACATTGCTAAGTGTTGAGAGAAAGAAAAAAACAAAAAAAGGTGATTTGCTTTTGTGTTTCCCTCCGAAACGGAAGTGTTAGGGAAGAGAAGAAGAGAAGAAATTGAACAAAGTGTGGGTGTTTTGTTTTGGTTGAGCTTATTTATGTCCGGCGTCATCTCCAACCCACCACATTCTAACGTAACTCATTATCACCACGCGACTTTTCCTCACTCTACGTCACTCGCCACTTCTTTATTAGTGTTTGGGAAGATGCAACTAAAATTGGGAAAAACCAATCAAAACAACAAATGGAGTGTGTTTGTACATACAACGCAAGTATAATCGGTGTTTGGATCAAATTTAAGGACCCCTGCATTTAATTCATGTAAAGCCCTATCCAACCCGAGATTAAAACTAACTTATGTGTTAATTAAATTCTATAAACTTTCTCCTATTAACTTATGTATAAGTTAAGAATTAAAAAAAAATCATATAAAATTTATTTCAAAATTTATCTTTTTTCCTCCTAAAACGATTTATATTAATAATCACTTTCATTGCATATACTAATACTACAAAAATGTCATTTAGGCACTCATATAAGATTGAAAAAATTTTAAAAATTAAATTAAATTAATATTAAAAGTTTAAATAATATGTACAAACTCTCATATTTAAATTTTAGTGTTATTATTGTAATTTTAATTAATAAAAAATATAAAATAAAAATACTCAAATAATGTCTTTAAAGATATGTATTCTCCTTCCTTCAATGTTTTATGTGAAGAAATTGATATAAAAACATAATTAAAAAAAAAAGGTAAATAAAAGAAAAATGAGGTAGATATTTTATAAATTTTGAATGTTATTACCCTGTTTCTCATATATAAAACTATATTTCCTAATTTATTAAGATTTAAAAAATATTTAATCTAATTAATAATAATAAATTTATTATATATATATATATATTAAAATTACTCTTGTATTATTTTTCTCTATTAATTAATGTTTATCTTTCTCTCAACTAATTAGAATGTATGCTTTATACTACTTATCTCTCTTTTAATTAATACTACTTATTCTTCTAATCAACTAGAATTTATATATTTTAAGGAATCCATAATTAATGTATTATTTCAAATTAAAAAAATATTTTTAATTAAAATATTTTAATTTAAAAATAATTAATATATTAAATATTATGAACTAAATCTTATATAAAAAATAAATAATTATTCTATAGTAAATCTTATAAATAAATGGAAATCAAAGCATTAACAACCATAACCTTGGTATTATCTAAATTTTTTTCCGTACCTCTTTTCCTATTGATGTAAACACTTGATTGGGATGTCAACACCTTAATTTCCTTAATTATTCTATTAATCCGAATCAATTCAGATAAGATTTCACACAATTTTTAAATCAATACATGCTACGGTTTTAATACTTAAAAAATCTCTAAAACTGACTGATATATTTAATTTTAGGTGTAATATTAATTTTTTAAATTTACTTTATTATCACAATTAAAATAATATCTTAAAAAAATATAGTCCTCATTCCAAATTGAAAAATTTAGTTATTCATTCCAAATTGAAGAATAGTGTGGTTCACAAACGTTAAGGTTCATTTAATATTTTCATGAAACATAATAAATAATTTTGCGCAATTTCAAATTAATGGATTTTATCATTAATATTTTTTTATTTTCTTAATTATTATTCTAAAAATGATCAAACTGTGATGCTTACATTGTGATTTTGATGGATAAAAAAAATTCAAAATCGTTAATTAACACACTATTGATTTGTTCAATTAATTTTGGTGACTTTTCTTTTAGCTGTGTTAATAAGACTATTAATATTCTTCAAAAAATTGTGTTAAGATCTGATTAATAATTATATTAAATGTAATAATTATTTTGCACAATATTAAAATAATTATTTTCTCTATTAATATTTTGTAATTGCATTTTCTTAATTACTATTGTAAAAAAAAATTAAGTAACTGTTATTGGTGCAAAATATTCAACAAATATAAATCATTTTTAGAGAGACTAACTAACTAATCACTTTTAATAAAAAAAAAATTCTCTCAATTATATATTTTTTTATTCATAATCTAAAACAGATCCAAAATCCAATCAAAAGGGGTCATATTTTTTAAAAAATAAATTTAAATAAATATTAAATTATAATTATTAATACATCGTATTACTCTAATTTATAAATATCATTTTTTAAAATCATAAATAATATAAAGAATATATATATATATATATATATATATATATATATATAATTTTTCAGTATAATCATATATTTAGAATAGTAAACATAGTTTGAACTAATTCTAGTGAAACAAATAACACAATTTTGGTGATTAATAAGAGTATGCATGTTCTCCAAAAAAAAATGTTAAGGTACATTATTTAACATTTTATAAAATGTATTAAATATTTTTGAAAAAATAAAAATGAAATTCTGTATTGATACTTAATATTTTTATTTTCTGAATTGTTACTTTTAATGTGTAATCGTGAATTGATGAGCTGATTTGGTGACTGTAATGGGTAAGAATAAGAATTTATTGAAAGCGATATCTTGAAGTTGAAGTTATTTTTTTAATTTTTTTTTCCTATTTTTGACTTTTTGATTTTGAAAATAAGTGGGAAGGATAGGTGTCGGGCATTAGGATACTGACCGAAATGCGTACAGGAAAGAGGGTATTGATTCTAAGGATTTTCTTACGTACTTTACAAAGTTGAAACTTGAAAGTACACACCACCATTACCATTTTCTCTTTTTCACATTAACACTTTACCATTCTCAAATATGCATTAAACAAACGAAAATATTATTTTTCAATAATAACTTTTTCACATTTCAACCATATAAATACCTATTCATACTTATTATTTTTATTTTTACATTTTATTATATAATATTACATATCATATTTATCTTTTTTTTCATTCTAACTTTTTTCTAAACTTACTCCGAAACCCATCCTTAGTAGAACTGAAGATATGAACAGTCAAATTTGTTTCGATCTCAAGCCCAATTCTGAATCCAACCTACCTTTATACATGAAGATTAAATCCTTATATTAAAAAATATATATGATTATTTATCGGTTATATTATATTATATTAGTAGGATAATACCATCTTTAATAATATAATTCATTAGTGTGTCTACATACAATTTTTTTTTAATAATATCATATTTTTATTATCTAAACAACTTAAATATTTTTTCAATTTAATAACTCTGAAAAGCTACTTAAATAAACCTCACAATATAACTGTAAAAAACATTGCATATGGCGTTGAAGTACATGCGAGATCCCCAAAAATGGAAAATGACGACAAACTTATTGAACAATCCATTGTTTGTTTATTCTCGAATAACATGCCAAATTTATTTTATTTTATTTATTTTTTCTACATATATTTTTCTTTGAAAATATTATTGTTTAAGCCATGATTGGACACTAAATATGGACAAAAGCATCGAACATTAATTTACTGTGTTTAGATAATTGATCATCCGGTCAAATTCAATCTTTATTAATCAAATTACATTTTTTAACTATATTATTAATATAAAATATTCATCAATTTTGTTAATAATTAATTTTTATTAAAAAAATTAAATAATATTTTTAATGGATGTCTTCCCTCATAATAACATCTCTTTTATCTAAAATATTCAAAATTGAATTTTTTTATATCAAATATAAAAATAACAAACAAAACAAGGTCTAAATAGTGACGATCTAGAAATTTTAGATAATGGGGTAATACTTATTCATATATTTGTAATATTACAAAATTTACATATAATTTTTAAAAGTGTAAATATATATCATAATTATTTTTACAAATTTTTATATCTACGATTATAATTAAAGATAAAAATAAACTAAGTCAGACTAGATTATATTATAATTTAATAGATTTTAATCAAACTTTCTTTAAAAATACATGTCCTAATATATGAATTATTTATCTATCATAGATATTTTTTTAAATGTTTGATTATGACTATAATCTTAAAGATCTACTTTATAATAATTTAACACTAATAAAATATAAAAATAAATATGTTAAATTTTATAAAAATCAAGTTTAATTTATTTATGATATAAACATTTTTTAATATTTGATATAAATTTTAGATGATAATTTACTTTAAAACATATTTTATAATAAAAATTCTAAATAAAACATATATCTTTCAATTTTTTCTATCTTTATTTTTTTAATCAACGTATACAATAAATAGAGAGTACAAAAGGTAAATATGCATGCAACAAATTTTATTTTACCAAAAAATATTTTTTTAAATATATTACATTATGTATGTGAGCATTAATATATACACACACACATATATATATATATATATATATATATATATTGTAATTAACCTTTTTTAAAAAAATTAATTTATTATTAAGAAGTATTCTTTATTACATATGAGAACTAATCTCCTTCAAAAGTTTGATAAATATCAAATAAATAAACATCTTTTCCGAATTGATATTTTATACATACGATAGTTTAATATATATATATATATATATAGAGAGAGAGTATAACTTTTATTTTTAAAATATATTATTTTTTGGATAAAAAAAATATGTATGTAGAAGCAAGTGTTTCCATTATGCTCCATGTAGAGTTGTGCCTGGCCAAATATAGGTGACACCAACGGCATTAGCAAAGTAACAAGGAATATGACTGTTGTGAGGTAGAATCTCACACCACTATAGCCATATTGAAGGCAAAATCCATCTTGACCAACATATCCACGTAGTTGTTACCCGCACAAAGGTGTGAACAAAATTGATGTTGCAGCCTTGACTTTTGCGTTCTTGGATCATATTCATAATAACAACATAATAATGAAAATATGTATCATGAACAATGTTTTGAAGGTAGACAATGAGTCTAATTCACAAGGAATATGATGAATATTCATGTCCCAAGCAAGCTGAATCCCTTTCAGCAAAGCTAACAATTTTGCATAGAGGTGTGCAGTCAAGTTGCACGATCCTGCAAAGCCTGATATCCAATCTCCAATCAAATTGCAAAAGAGCCCTCCAAAGCCAGCAGAGCCTAGGTTGCCAATGAAGCTTTCATCCATGTCAAGTTTAAACACATGGAGGGTGGATCCAAGAAATCAATTTCCTTGATGAATATGTTGTAGGAGTCAATAGATCCCCTTAAATAAAGACATGTGAC